TAAATGTTGAGATCCGTTGTGTCAGGGCATTCGCTTGCGATGCGCTCTGGATAATTTCGATAACGCTAATGTGTTGCTACCTGATAAGTGGTAAGACCCCTACCCCCTCCTCTGCCGCGCTATGGGGATGCGAATGTGTGAATGAAACGTGTCGCGGAGCGTCGTGAGTTGACCCCAGCCCGCCTCATCGAGTGGGCTCAGGACTTTGTCAAATTCATCTTTGGAGCGTTCCCCCACCCTGCTGGCGAAGTTCCTCCCCCCATAACCCAGAGTTGCATGGACGGTGTTGAGGTTCAGGTTTACGAAGCAGGGTCCTCGGAGTCTGGCCTGGAGTTTCCTGCCCCCCTCCCCCCAAGTCCAGTTGGCCGCATCTGCCTGGAAGGTTCCTGGTACGAAAGGCCGAGACCTCTCGGCAAACTGGCTGGGGCGCTGCAGTCATGTTTCCCAGTTGCCACGTGATCAGCCGTGTTTCGGGTCCTGTGTTGGCCCGTCTTCTCCAGAAGTCACAGTTTCGCGGGGTTTGCTGATCTTGCTGCCGTTAAGAGTCAACCTTGACGGCCCCACCTTTTGTTCTATGACTGTGCCTCAGCGGCCCCTGCGTGTGCGAGTCTGCTTGTGGACCGTTTGCCTGGACATAGTCCCCATGTTGGCCTGGCCATGGAAACTCATGCAGGGGCTGCCCCCATCTCGTCGACACCGCGGCGGAGGTCGCGGCTTACAAAGCTGAGGACGAAGCTGGTATCGCGGCCCGATGGACCATTCGTAGGATTGGTAAGCATTGCGGCCATGAGGCTGCCAGGAGAGGTGCTCATCCGCACCCCACTGGCGGCTCCAAATGCGCAGGACAATCCAGACCGCAGGTGATCAAAGTTGTCGCTCAAGCTGTATAGCTGCTGGCTGCAAGGCTCCTGTCTCTGTGGCCGCGGCTCCACCGGTCCACCACAGCACATGTAAAGCCAACGTCTGGAGTCATGGCTGGGCCTGGCAATGGGACTTCTTGGCAGCGCGTACCGCTTTTGAGGGCTACTAGCAGTGACGTGCTTCCGCCCCCTGTTCCCTTGTTCTCGGCGAGCTTTGTCCCAGGGAACTGTTCTGGTCTGGCCAAGCCGCCCCCGCCATTGCCCGAGTCCAGTAATCATCTGTGTGCCTTCGTGGACTGTTTGGAGGACCATGATCCTGTGCGTGCCTCCGCTGTTTTTTACAGCACGGGAAGCCGAGCAATGAAGTTTGGAGGGTGGACCACATGGAAGTATGGTCTCTCTCTGGTAGGCATGCTCACGAGCACGTGCGGTCACACAGTGTCCAGTTGTCTTCCTCCCCTCGGACGCTGGAAACCCTTCTGGATCCGAGGGAGTGTGTCCGCCCTTGCCCTGTCAGTCTGCATCAACTTCGGCAACGCGCCCCTCTCCCCGTAGGGTGTTGGGCCGAGCTCATCCTGGGGACCGCTCTGGGGGTGAACGCCTTTGCCGGAACATGGGGGGCGACGACGGCCGTGCATCTGCCAGTGTAACCCTGTGGGCCATCTGGATCGGGGGGAGCGTCGAGCTTGGGGCCAGGCCGAGCCTGGGAACCAGCTGCCCCTGGATGCACGTGGCCTTGACGATGATGGGGACGAGGAGGAGGTGGAGGAGGAGCCACCTCGTGTCAATCAATGCCCCGTTGGGCCGCGGTGCGCAGAGCGTTTGTCGCAACTTTCACTTCAGCAGAGTGGTGGAGTTCCTTCGGCGTGAAGGTGACGAGGGGCTACTCGTGACGGCTCGTGCGGACTCTGACCGGCAGCTTTCGGACTGACGAAGGGTTTGGTCTGGCCAGCCCAAAATGGCGCCAGTCTGGCCCCTGATGTCGCCCCAGGACGGTATGAGGGAGGTCGCTGTCAAAAAGCTTGTGTTTCCCTCTTCCCTCCTCGCCTTTTTTGTCCTCCGCCCTTGGGGGTTACAAGGCTGTCCGACTGCAGCAGCAGAGGAGTCATAGCGTCAGCGTTTACATGGTCTCACTGCCAGCAGGTGATCCAAACTTTCGGGGGTTCGGGGGCTGGTGTCGTACCCGAAGAATATACAGACGATCCAAGAAGACGACTTTTTTTCACATGGGGGGGTCAAGGGCTCGGGTGACCAAAAATCGAAGAAGACAGCGTCGGAAGTCCTGGGGACCCCCTCAGCCGGCTGACAACAACAACCACCAGAACAACAACACACACAGTTTGGGTCAGATCGTTTTCATATGCTCGCGTGCCACCGAACATTCCTCCATACCCGTTTTCTTCGGCCTGATCATGCCTTTGTGGGGGGTGTATCGGCCTTCCTTGCCACGTGTAATTGGCGCAACCTTTAAAACATCAAGAACAGAAATAACGGAAAACGGAGAGGGCGAGGAGGAAGGGAGTGGAGGAAGGGAGGGAAGAGGAAACGGGGCAAGAGGGAGGGAGGGAAAAGATGGAGAACGAGAGGGATCCATGCGCAAGAGTAGATGGGAAGGAAGTTTCATGCGAAAGCGCCGTTCATGAGCAGATTTTGAGGACATCCCGAGCGAGCCCGATTTCAGACCGCCGAGAAAGTGATTCGTGCAAGCATTGCAAGTTTCACACAGGGACGCGATCTTTTCATACACGACTAAAAATGGCGCCATCGAAAGCTTGATTCTTCAAAATGATGTGAAAACTCGTATCCGTCGGGAGCTGGGAACCGTTGATGCGGTACGTACACGCGCAGCCAACAACAACGTCTGAGGCAGAAAAGGTGCGAACCCCTGGAGGGGCAGTTCAATTAAACAAACACCATGGGCCTTGACGGAGAGTTGAACAATAGCTGTTCTTTTGAATTGAGGATTCACCAGCAGCTGCAACACCAACAACAGCAACAGCAACAGCAACACTAGCCATACGTTTGATTTTGTTCCTTCTTGTTTGCTCGCGTGTCTTTCAATATGTAGATCCCAAGCATTCGATACCCGCCTTCTTCGTTTTCGATTGTGCCCCCTTTCGGCGCATATCTTGCTTACCTGCCACGCGTAGTTTGCGCAGCCCCTAGCACACGGGGCAGGGAGGGACAAGGGAAGGGGCAAAGAGAAGGGAAAAGGATGGAACAGGAGAAAGATTATCCGAGGTGGAGCGGGAGCAGGAAAGCAAGAGGTTGAACCACACGGGTGGGTCGGGCAAGCAAACCTCAACGGGCGGGTCGGTCGGGCGGGCCCAGACGGCTGGGGCGAGCGGGTGGGTCTTGGCAATAAGGGTGGGATGGTTTTGATTTCGTATCCGGTTCTGGTTCCAGTTTCGGTTTTAGTTTCGGTTTCGTTGTTGGTTTCGTTCTGAGTTCTGAAGAAGACTTGTTGGTCACCGTTCCAGTCATGAGTTTGATTTCTTTCTTCTTCCACTTTGGAAAAAGAACGTCTTGTGTCAGTCATGGTTCTTGTTTGGGCGTGCAAAGGATACCCCCTGGGTCACAGTTCTTGTTTTGGTTCCGTTTCAGTGTGTTTCCAGCCTCGAAGAAGACCCTGCTGGTCATGGTTCCAGTTCCGGTTCCAGTTCCGATTTTCTGGTTTCTTCCGGCCTCGAAACAGACCCCCCCGGTTCGCGGTTTCGGTGCCAATCCGGGTGCCGTTTGTTTTTTGTCCCAACCATTTTTTGGTGTTGGGTCCTTGTTTTGAAGAGACATCGCTTTGCGTCTCCTTCCTCCTCCCGCTGCCCACTCCCTCCTCTCATCATCATCATCATCATCATCATCATCACCACCACCATCATCATCATCATCATCAGTATCAGTATCAGTATCATTATCATTATCATCATCAGCATCATCATCGTCATCGTCATCGTCATCATCTTCATCATCTTCATCATCGTCATCATCGTCATCATCGTCATCATCGTCATCGTCATCATCATCCTCATCATCGTTATCGTCATCATCACCGTCACCATCGTAATCATCATCTTCGCTGTCATCATCACCGCCCTCATCACCACCATCGTCATCATCATCATCATCGCCGTCGCCACACCCAGTTCGGCACACCCAGAGCAGCGTTCCAGGGCCCCATAGGGAGCTCCACCCAAGGCCCCGGTGCCACCGCCCGCATGCGCCCCCCACAACCATTTCGGCACACCCAGTACAGCGCTTCGTGGCCCCATAGAGAACTCCACCGAAGGCCCCAGTGGGGGTGGCCACATGCGTCCGCCACACCCATTACAGCGTTTCGTGGCCTCAGGAAGCTCCAACTAAAGGCCCAGTGGGGTTGGCCACATGGGTCCGCCACACCCCGAACAGCGCTTCGGGGCGCCATAGGGAGCTCCACCCAAGGCCCCAGTGGGGGCGGCCACATGCGTCCGCCACACCCTGTACAGCGCTTCGTGGCCCCATAGGGGGCTCCATCGGAGGCCTCAGTGGGGGTGGCCACATGCGTCCGCCACACCCAGTACAGCGCTTCGTGGCCCCATAGGGGGCTCCACCCAAGGCCCCAGTGGGGGTGGCCTCATGCGCCCGCCACACCCAGAACAGCGCTTCGGGGCCCCAAAAGGAGCTCCAACTGAAGGCCCCAGTGGGGGTGGTCACATGCGTCCGCCACACGCGGTAAAGCGCTTCGAGGCACCGTAGGGGGCTCCACCCAAGGCCCCAGTGGGGGTGGCCACATGCGTCCGCCACACCCAGTACAGCGCTTCTTGGCACCGTAGGAAGCTCCACCCAAGGCCTCAGGGGGGGGTGGCCACATGCGTCCGCCACACCCATTACAGCGCTTCGTGGCCCAACAGGGAGTTCCACCCAAGGCCCCAGTGGGGTTGGCCACATGGGTCCGCCACACCCAGTACAGCGCTTTGTGGCCCCATAGGGAGCTCCACCCAAGGCCCCAGTGGGAGTGGCCACATGCGCCCGCCACACCCAGTGCAGCGTTTCGTGGCCGCATAGAGCTCCACCTAAGGCCGCAGTGGGGGTGGCCACATGCGTCCGCCACACCCATGTCGGCACACCTTCCACGCGCTTCGTGGCCCCATAGGGAGTTCCTACCGTAGCCATTTTGGCTCAAGTGAGCCGCGCTTTGGGAGGCCCTCGCAGCGCGCCGCGCAGGCGCGTGGCGCGCCACAGGCCGTGATGTCCGCCCACGCTGGTGGCGGCAAGTTGTGGGCTGCGGCTTCGGCACGGACGCTGACCCGGCGCCTGCGGTGGGAGCTGCAGGCAGAGCGGGGCGTGTCCCGTGCGGCGGCGCTGGCTCGCCGCATCAAGGCGCTCAGGTCGTCGGTTGACGTCAATTGGCGCCTCGGCGATGCAGTCGGGCGCCATCTCCCCACGCTCGGGGAGGAGGTGGCGACCGCCCGACTGCTCGGCTGCGATCCCGCCCCCCTGGCCGAGGCGGACGCGGCGCTGGCGGAGGGCAACGCCGCACGCCATGCGCCGCCGCCTGGCGCAGCGAAAGGGCTAGCCAAGGTGCCCGACGGGCTGGATGCTCGGGCGTTTGAGCGTTTGCTGACGGGCGCCGTGTCGCCGCTCAGCGCCGACGCCAAGCCGTTCGAGCCAGCTGCAGACGGGATGGTCTCCACGCTGCTGTGCGAGCTCGGCGTGGAGCAGGATGACAGCGCTTCCGACTGCAAGCTCAGCGTCGACAGCCACGACGTACCGCAGGCGGAGCAGGAGGATCTTGGCGCGCAGGTCGTCGGCTTGGTGCGCAGCACGGATTGCACACTTTCCCGCCCAATTGGCGCTGGCGCGGCTTCTGGCGTCGTTTCGCGCTACCCCCTAGCGAACGACGCTGCAATCCTCAGCGGGCTCAGCGAGGAGGAACAACCGGAGGGACCTGTAATCCAGGACGCGTTCGATTTTGGCGCCGCAGAATGTGTGCATGGAGATGTCGATGCCCCTCTCATCGGTCATGTTGTCCATGGTGGTTGCAGTGGAGATCCTTATCCCTCTCGTCGTGCTGTTGGTGATGGTGTTCCCCAAGATGCAGTTCATGATGAGCCTGCTGATCTTCGCCTCGACGTTGATCGCGATCATGTTCATGGTGACGCCGACCTGTTGGCACTTGGATTCTTTCCTGGCGATGCTGATCGTACTGTCGATCGGCCAGGCGGACTCGGGCATGGTGAAGCCGACGCAGTCCCTGATGGCGAAGGTAGAGCTGGTGCTGATCGTGACGGTGTTCATCACGACCCAGCTCAATGTGATGTCGACCGTGTGGCACTCGGACTCGTTCTCGGTGACGTTGATTGCGTTGTCTCTCGGATCGGCCACGCGCTCCTGCATCACCTGGTACAGCAGCAGGACGCTGGCACTACGATCCACGAGGGCGACCTCGTCGCGCGGTACCTCGAGCAGATCGAGGACAGCATTGAGTCCGAAGCCCAGCCCACGGAGTGCGAGATGAAGCTCCTCGATTTGATCGACAAGCTCATCGACGAGGACTTCTTATCCGCCTCGCGGCCGACGGTCGGCCTGTCGCGCGCGAGCCGTTTCCTCGTCTTGCGCTCGTGTCTGAGAGTTCGGGGTATCCTGGGGGTGGCGCAAGTGGCGATTCCTCGCGTGGTCCGTAGCGCCACCCCCAAGGAGCCCCAAAAAGCGGCGCCGAGGGCGGCGGAAGTGGCGGATCCTCGTGCGGCCCTGTGCGCCACCCCGTCGGCGCCGCCCGTTTAGCCCCGCGGGGCTCTCCCCTTCGGGGCTGTCCTACCTACCATAAGGAGCCCCACCTCAGGCCCCAGTGGGGGTGGCCAAATGCGTCCGCCACACCCAGCACAACGCTTCGTGGCCCCATAAGGAGCTCCACCGAAGGCCCCAGTGGGGGTGGCCACGTGCATCCGCCACACCCAGAACAGCGCGTCGGGGCCCCATAGGGAGCCCCACCCAACGCCCCAGCGGGGGTGGCCACATGCGCCCGCCACACCCAGTGCAGCGCTTCGTGGCCCCGTAGGGAGCCCCATCGAACTCCCCAGTGGGGGTTGCCACATGCGTCCGCCACGCCCAGCACAGCGTTCCGTGGCCCCATAGGGAGCTCCACCGATGGCCCCAGTGGGTTTGTTCGCATGCGTCCGCTACGCTCCGTACAGCGCTTCGTGGCCTCATAGGGAGTTCCACCTGCGGCCTCAGTGGGGGTGCCCGCATGCGTCCGCCACACCCAGTACGCCCCTCACACTATTCGTGGCCCCTCAGGCCCCCGCCACGCGCAGTGCACACAGTCATATACATTCACACTATGCAGATCCGCGCTCGCATTCATGCGCACAGACTGACTCGCACGCAGAGTCAATCACGATTCGACGCGTTCGCGCTCAGTCTTACACGCGCTCAGCCCCCTGTGATCAGGCCTGTCGTTTCCGTTCGTGTTGTGTAATGTCGGTACACCTCTCGCACGGCTCGTGGCCCCATAGGGCTCGCCACCGAAAAAGATATTCACCATTATTGTACTTACTCACAACTGCATATAGTTGGGTCCTTCGCCTGGATAATTCCCAACCATCCTGTGGTGTTGGGCCGAGACGGTCCCCGCGCCCCCCCTCCTTCTTACCTTCCTCCCCCTCCCCCCCCCTCCTTCCCCCCTGCGTTTCACCCACCGAGCACAACACGTCTTGGCCAAATGAAGAACCCCACCGAAGCCCCAGTGGGACCGCCCGCATGCGCCCTGGAAACCCAATGTGGCAGCTTCCATTGGTACCGCCCGCGAGCGCCCCCGAAGCCCAATTTGGCATTTCAACATACCCAGTACAGCGCTTCGTGGCCCCGTAAGGAACTCCACCGAACCCCCCCGTGGGACCGCCCGCATGCGCCCCACAAGCCCCAATTGGCATTTTCACTCACCGAGTACTGAGCTTCGTGGCCCATAGAGAGTTCCCCCGAAGCGCCCCACACACCCAATCAGGCAGATTCACCCACCCTGTACAACTTTTCATGGCCGTGTATGGAGCTTCACCAAAGCCCCCACTGGGACCGCACGCGTGCGCCCCAAAAACTCAATTTGGCATTTCACCCACCCACTACAGCGCTTCGTGGCCCCATGGGGAACTCCACCGAAGCCCCCAGCGGGACTGCACGCATGCGTCCAAGAAAACCATTTGGGCATTTCACCCACCCAGTACAGCGTTTCGTGGCCCCTATAAGGAGCTCCGCCGAGACCCCCCGTGGGACCGTCCGCATGCGCCCCGGAAACCCAAAGTTGGCATTTCCACACACCAATTACAGCGCCGTGTGGCCCCATAGGGAGCTCCACCGAAACTCCCAACGGGACCGCCCGCATGTGTCCCGCAAATCCCATTTGGCATTTTCACTCACCCAGCAAACTTTTCGTGGCACCCAGTGAGACCGCCCGCGTGCACAGCGCTTCGTGGCCCCATAGGGAGCACCACCGAAGCTCCCAGTGGGACCGTCCGCATGCGCCCCGGAAACCCAAAGTTGGCATGTTCACCCACCCTCTACAGCGCTGTGTGGCTTCATAGGGAGCTCCACCGACGGCCCCAGTGGGACCGCCCGCATGCGTTACCAGCGTTTCGTGGCCCCACAGGGAGTTTCACCGAAGAAGATATTCATAATTGCGCAGCTGCAGATGGTTGGGTCTTTCGCCCGGATATTTTTCCCAGCGCCGAAGAAGGCCCTTTGGTCACGGTTCTGGTTCCGATTCGTGTTCTGGTATTTGTCTTTTTAGTTTCGAAAAAAGAAACCACCCTGGTCACATTTGTTGTTCCGAGTATGGTTTTTTGCTCTTTCCGGCCTCGAAGAAGACCACCCAGGTCGTTGTTCCGGTGTTGGTTCCCGTTTTCTTACGGTGCTGAAAATTAAATGACCCCTTGCGGTTGTGGTTCCAGTTGTTGTCCCAGTCCCGAGTTGGTTATTGGTTTGCCGGTTTCGAAGAAACCTTTTTGGTCGTTGTCACTTAGCCCTTGAGACCTCTTCGGCTTATTGCGGAAAGAGTCAATATGTTTACGTATGTATGTATATGTGTATATGTATGTATAGATATGTTTTCCCGTCTTTCCGTGCGCAGCAGAAAACCAGGTTTCCACATTCTCTTTGTACGACACACACCACCCGATACTCAACAGACTGCTCCCCAAGCCCAACTTGAAACAGTTCTGCTACTCAACTCCCGCCGTGTACAACAGAGCACCCAGATTTCCACAGCCTTCGTGTACAACACCGCGCATGATATTCAACAAACTCCGTCCCCAGGATTATTTGAAACAGTCCTTCTATTCACGTCCCTTTGTGTCCAACACAACACCCAGGCACTCCACAGCTGTCTTGTACAACGCACCACCCAATACTCAACACGCTCCTTCCCCACCCCTCATTTGAAACAATATTTCTCCTAGGTTCCCTCAATTCAGGTACTCCACGGCCTTCGTGTACAAAACACACCCAACATTCAACAGACTTCCTCCCCAAAGCAAGAAGAACTCCCCAATCTTAATTTGAGACAGTCCTTCGAATCATTTCTCTCCGTGCCCAACACAACAGCCAGGCACTCCACAGCCATCGTCTACAACACACCACCCGGGCCTCAACAGGTTCTTTCCCCAAGACTAATTTGAGACAGCCTTTCTGTTCAACCCTTTTCGCGTACAGCACATCATACAGGTATTCCACAGCGATCTTGCACAACACGCCACCCGACACTAAACAGGCTCCCTCCCCGAACTTACCTGTAGAAAGGTCGGATTCTCAATTCCCTCCGTGGACAACAAACACAACACCCAGGTACCCCACAGCGCACGTGTACAACACACCACCCCGCACTCAACAGGATCCTTCACCAAGCCGTGTTTGAGCAAGGCCTTCTATTCAGCTCCCTCCATGTTCAACACAACTCCAAGGTACTCTACATCGTCCGTGCCCAACACCGCGTTTGGTGCTCAACTGGCTCCCTCACCAAGCCCAAATTGAACACGAAACCCTTCTACTTACTTCCCCCCGCGTCCAACACAACAATCGGGTATTCCACAGCCTTCGCGTTCAACACCGCACCGATATCCAACAGGCTCCCCCCCAAAGACTAATTTGAAAATGTCCTAACGAATTCCCTCCGAGTGCAACAAAACACCCAGGTATTCCTCGGCCTTCGTGCACAACACACCACCCAACATTGTAGAGGCGTTGTCCCCAAGCCTACCTTGAAAATCATGATACTCAACGGCATCCGTGCATCCACGTACCTACACGACACCCAGGTACCCCGCAGCCTCCGTGTACAACACACCACCCGATACTCAACAGGCTCCCTTCCCAAGCCGAAGTTGGAATAGCTTTTCTACCCAATTCTACGGGTCTACAAAAAAACACCCAGGTCCTCCACCGCCTCCGTGTACAGCACACCACCCAGAATTCAGCAGATTCTTTCCCCAAATTTCATTTGAACAAAAAAGGACCCACGTGGTTTCACGCTTGCTGCGCTCTGGGTCGAAAGGGACCCACGTGTTGTCACCCGTCCTGGCCACCCGGGGGCAGTCCCCCCCTCCCAAATGTTGAGGGAGGGCACAAAAGCACACACAAACTCAACGACCCGGCACTAAATGCACAATCGCTTGGCACGTTCCGCCGTGGGGCTTCCTCGAGGGGACCTGCCTGTGTTCACGTTTATTGCATCCTGGGGCGACAGGGACCCACGTGTTTTCACGCTTGCTCCGCTCTGGCGTGAACGGCACCCGTGTAATTTCACGCGTGCTGCGCTCTGGGTCAAAACGCACTCACGTGTCGTCACGCTTGTTCTGCTCTGGGGCGAAAAGGATCCACGTGTTTCACATGTTCTGCACTCTGGGACGAAAGGCTCCCACGTGTTTTCACGCTTGCTGCGCTCTGGGGCCAAAGGGACCCACGTGTTGCCAGGTTTGCTGCGCTCTGGGTCGAAAGGGACCCACGTATTGTCACGCGTCCTGGCCACCCAGGGGCAGTCTCCCCCTCCCAAGTGTGAGGGAGGGCACATCAGCGCAGCAAATTCAACGAACAAGATGCATAATCATTTTGCACGTTCCGCCTTGGGGTTCCAGGGAGGCCTCCTTGAGGGGACCTTCCTGTTTTCACGCTTATTGCATCCTGGGGCGACTTGGACCCGCGTGTTTTCACGCTTATTCTTCTTTGGGGCAAAAGTGTCCCTCGTGTTTGCACGTGTACTGCGCTCTGGATCAAAAGGGACCCGCGTGGTTTCACGTTTGCTGCACTCTGGGTCGAAAGGGACCCACATGTTGTCACCTGGCCACCCAGGGGCGGCCTCTCCCTCCCAAGTGTGAGGGAAGGCACAAAAGCGCAGCAAACTCAACGAATCGGCATTAGATGCATAATCGCTTGGCACGTTCCGTCTCAGGGCTCTGGGGGGTCCTTCCCGGGCTTCCTGGAGGGGACCCACGTGTTTTCACGCTTATTGCATTCAGGGGCGAAAGGACCCACGTGATTTCATACTTGCTCCGCCCCGGGACGAAAGGAACTGATGTATGTTCATGTTTGCGCCGTTCTGGGGTAAAAGGCACCCACGTGTTTTCACGTTTGCTGCGAACTGGGGCGAAGGGGGCCCACGTGCTTTCACGTTTGTTCCGCTCGGGCGCGAAAAGGACCCACGTTTTTCACGCTTGTCCTGCCCTGGCACGCAAGAGACCCATGAGTTCTCACGCTTGTTCCACGTTGCCCAGGCGGATCTTGAACATGAGGAATTGCTAAGGGTGTTTCGAGCGAAACGCTGGTCTTTACGTGCCCAGGCCGCCCAGGCGGATCACTAACATAGTACGTTTTGAGGAGATCTAAGGCGAAACGCTCGCTCTGCAGGATCTGCTAGGGGATGTCTCGAGCGAGGTCCTCGCCTGCAGCGAAAGGCTTCGTCTGCAGGATGTGTTGAGGATGTCTCTCGCGAAACGCTGGTTGTTTTATTGTTTGATGAAGTGTCGAGCGGGGGCCTTGTCGTCGTTTCGGTGCATTTCGTTTCGGTTCGAATTCGCCCCTTGATCGGTTCGTCTCACTTCGGAACTGAATCGGATTTTGAGTTCGAGCTGTTTGAACGCCCCACATGTTTCTCCCCTGCCTGTCGTGGTCGCGCTCGGTTCGCTCCGTTGCGAACCTGGATGTCTCGGGCAATGGTTTCAAAATTGAATCGGATCTTGAGCTCGAGCTGGTCGAGCGCCCCGCGCGTCTCCACTAGAACGAGCCCGAGATATGCATTCAGGCAGTTCGAGCTCAAGATCCAAACCAGTTCGGCCACGATTCTGACGCCAAGGACGGATTGATCCACAGTGCAATAGGGCGCGGTTCGGTTCAACGCGGCGTGACACGTTGAATCCAGCAAAGCATGGCGCAGCACGGCGCAGTACAGCGCAGCCCGTGGCACGGTACATCGCAATCGTTATTTTGAACATTATAATTGCTTGTCGCCCAAGTTTGACGTCTTGGAAAAGATGCCATGCTTCGCATTTCTACATCCCCTTCCAGGTTCGTGGGTCGACCATGTTTGCTGTTGCGGGGCTTCAGGGGCACTCCCTGGACCCCTGGACCGTCAGAAAACGACTCCGGATGACCAGCTGGTCCTGGGGGGAGGCCCCAGGGTTTGGGACCCGTGTCTTTCATGCCAGGTATTCCAGTCTCTGTCTCTTTCTCCTCCGCTCTCGTTCCGCCCTCGTCCCCCGAGCGGAGAGTCTGCGCACCCGGCAAAAAAAATCGCCGCGTGGATTCGAGAGGACAAGCCCGAGTGTTTGAAGGGTTTCGAGAAGAGCATTTTCGGCATGTGCGCTGGCGAGAAGAGGAAGGTCTCGCTGAAAAGAACCCAGCATGCAGCCGCAGCTTCTATATGTCTCCGTCGGCCGCGCCATGCTGTGAGGTGATTGAGGGCATCATGTGAGCGGGGTAGGTGGCTTGGAGGGGTTGGGGGAGGGGGGCAAGCAGCACGGGCAGCAGCGGCAGCACGAGCAGCTAGGGCCACGGCCACTTGGTAGGCCCGCAGACCAGAGCTCTTGAAGAAGCCCGTAAGCGTGGATGCTGTCACTCATCGCAGTGGCGATGGGGCATCTGGCATCACTGCGTGATGTGGCTTCGCTCCTTGCCCGTGTATTTCGGTTCTGCAGTTTGGGGGCCGTGTGTCGTTCTGGTGGTTGCCGTCCGTCAACATCCTCAGTGTCATGCTGCCGTGTCGGATCGGTCCATCTGCCAAGATTCGTGAGATATGACGTTGCGTGCGACCAGGCGGAGGTCTTCGTCACATAGCGGCAGAAGAACTGCCCAGAAGGGTTAGCCAGGGGGATGGACAGGGCATGCCAGCTACAATCGGAGAAACGTAAGACTCGAGTTTGCCAGAACGCGGGCTTGCCGCCACTGTGGATGGTATTTGCGTGAAGCTCGAGGGTCCGATGTCGCGAGAGGTATGCAGCTGGAGTTCGCGCCAGGTTTCACATAGGAATGGCAATTCTTCTGACGGCCCCGTCGGGAGAATTCAAATGTCAGAATTTGCGTCTAACGTCTCGTCAACATTGGGGTGAGCGTCGTCACCCCCTGGACGGTCTATCATATTCGGCACCATTTTCGAGAGAGCATCGATAGGCTGGATCCCCCAGGTGTGGCTAGTCGGCGGTGGGCTGGCCGGGCCACTCCCCTGCCTTCCCTTACCCATCGGCTACGCGTAAGAGTGGCCCTTCGGGGGAGAGACCTCTGGTGCGTGGTTTTCGGGGGGGTGCGTGGAGCCCAGCTCGAGCACGCAGACAGCCACCGTCGCATCACACGCAACGACTGGCAAGCCACGCACCTCGAGGGCATCTCTTGCCAATGGTCGCTCTTGCACGTACGGCATGTTCGCGCCGTGTTGATGCGGCGGCGACCCTGGCGGCCTTGGCGCGGGCGTTTCAGGCTGCATGCCGCCAGTGACCAACAATCGGTTGATATCGAGCGGTCTGCGTTACCGGACAGTTTCGATCGTTCAAGGTTGAACGATCCACGCGGTGTCAGAAACCAATGCCGACGTTGCCACGCCACGAATTTGCTGTAGCCTACCCTACCCCCCATTCACCTGGGGCGGCCTCATTTGGTAAACCGACACCTGCCGTGACGACTCCCTCGTCCCGCGCTTCTCGGGTCGGACGACGTTGGGGAATTGGGGGTGGTACGAAATTTGCTGCGAGCAGCTGATGTCGGCCCCGCCGCCGGGCGCTTCCCTCTATACATTAGCGCCTCTGGCGCTGGTAGGCCGCCGTGAAAACCAGCTACGTGAGTCATTTCGCCTCCCCCCTTTTGCTACACTCCTTTCGTCCGCTGGTCTGGCCGCCCCCGGCGTGGAGAAAAAGGAGGAGGGGTAGGAGGTACGCAGGGCCAATTTCATCCGATCGATCCGATCGATCCGATTCGATCTCGTTTCCTGGCGGCCCGTCCGATTCGTTCGCGATATCCGACGATCCGATGCGGCCAGATGTTCGCAGGGAGTTGTTGTCCACCTTGGCGCGGCCGATCCGATTCGATTCAAGTTCCGTGCCGATGCGGCCCAATCTGATCCAAGGTCCGATTTGATCGGATTGTCAGATACGATGTTGACCATCTTTGTCGGAGAGGGAAGTTATGAATGAAGTTCTCGAAGGCTTCTCGAATGTGTTCACACCGTACGCGTAGTAGCTCACGGGCCCTGGGTAAAGGTTCGGGCCACACGGGCAGCGGAAGGCAGATCCCTTCAGTGTTCTTTCATTCGCACACATACGCACTGCTGCTACACTTCACACGACATACAGCGCATAGTTAAAACCCGTAAAATGTGTTTAGAGTAACGTATAGCTAAATTCGAAGGAGTACGCAATGCCGCAGCGCATACAATGAAACCGAATGAAATCCTAGCCGGCTGTGTCCGCCTGGTCGTATGCGGGTGTGTTGCTGCACCTTCTCAGCAGTGGTCTCGCCCGCCCGGGAGAATCTGCGCGTGGCGCGCACGAGCCGGCACCGGTCACCGCTGAGCTCGTGAGGACACGTGTTCTGCGTACCAACCGTCCTCACGTCGTAGGCATCCGCCGAGTTGCTTGCCATGCTGTCGGGCATCGCGTTGTAGTTGTATTGTTCTGGCTTGTCGATGTTTTTCTGGTCCCAGTTCCTCGCTTCGAACTGGTGGTTGGTCTCGCCCTCGTGGTTGGTCTTGACGTTCTGCGGGATAGCAGCGCCCAGCTTGATACGCATGAGTTTCATGTCATATCTCGACTTGTTGAGTCGGTTGATGATCGGCCATGCCACGGCCGTTCCCAGTATCAGAGCAACGATCGCGAACCAGAGTACGAAGCTTTCGTTCGTGATCGCCGTGCCACCGTCTGCCAGTTCGCCGCCTTCGTAGCTGATTATGTGGCAGCTCGCGTACGGTCGATACTCTCAGTTCGCTCGTCGTGTAGGTTGGGGCGTGCGTCAGCTTCAAGCGACCCTACCGTAGTCAATCCGCAAAAAGTAGTTGTCTTGCTGTAATTTTGGTGAACCCATCTACGACGCTCTTGCATGAGGGGTTCTTGTGATAGAAGTCAACTCCGCAGTAATCCATGCGATCGTCAACAACCCGCGTCCTGAACTTGAGTTCCTGTCGGACCTTAACGATGATTTCGTCGCAGTTGCTCCCAGGTCTCTGGCCCCGCTTCCAAGCACGTCGTCGACGCATATTAGGATGAAGCCGTCTGCGGGGTCGTCCTTGTCGGAATTCATGAACGCACATAGGTTCCGAGGATGTCACTGGAATCCGCACGCTTGGAGGTCGTCTTTGAACGCTGCCACCGTCGTCGGGGAGCGCCCACCTGCCTATGCATAGGCTTGATGAGTTTCATGAGCATCTCGGAGTCGACACCCATTAGATTTTCAGGAACTTTCGCATATAGATTTTTTTCTTGAGGTCGCCCGCGAAGGAATACCGTCGCCGCGTCTGGTGCCCACAACCTCCATCCATGAATTGCTGCTGGTAGTAGATCAAGTTGACATGCCAATCGCGACGCCCTAGGCGATGCCTTCGGTACCTGCCGCCAAGCGCTTCGGGATCGCTAAACCCTTGTAGGGCGCGAGACGCGATTTCGCCCTAGGCGTGCCGTCGTGTTCTTCGCCCACTTTGAGTACCCTCTTGGCCTTCAGAATCTGCGCAGAGCACTGGCCGGCCAGCCTGTGGAACTCTCGCATGCCGTTGACGACGAATTTCTCGAGGTCCTTCCGCTTACCCCCCATATCAAGCTCGCTCATAGGGCGCCATGTCGCGCGCTCGAGCAGATGTCTTCGAGTTTGGCACGAGCGCAGTCGAAGTCCCATGCAAACGGTATGCCCTCCAGTGCGAGCTGCAGGGCTGCTAGCTCGTCGTCGGCACTGTTGGGCACTGGCATCGCTGAACTGAGTCCCGGTTTTGGTGGAGACGGCAATGGTCCGCGATGCATTCAATCAGGCCGTCGGAAGATCGCTGTCTCCGCAGAGTCGAATCGGCGGCCCTCATGCGACGGTGATGTCGTAGTCGTCGGCTCCTGCTGTCAGCCGCGGGTACTGGCGCCGGCGGCATGGGACCTTGGTCTGGCTGGCCCCTGGAGCTCCTTTCCAAGGCAGCCACGCTTTCGTCGCGGTCTTCGTCCGGTAGCGCTGCCCCCGCAGATGGGTGGGCTGCGTTCAGGGTTGTCGTAGGAGGTGGCGATTGCTCCTGGTAGGCCGCCGCGTATCCGGATGACGCTGCCGTTGCAGTCGGGACCGGCGTCGTTGCCGAAGAGTTGTTTCGGCGTCGTTTGCCAGGCCGTTGCTGGTAATCATGGTCGTCGTCTTCATCGATGTCCATGTCGGAATATATTGGCGCCTCGAAGGGGGGCTTTCTGATCGCGGACTTCGTGGAACTGTGCAACTCCCGTCCAGCGCATACCGCCCAGGACGTCTTCCGCTTTGTCGAGATTGTCGAGCAAGACGCAACCTTGGTCGCTCACGCTCACGCCGAGGGGCATGTGCTCTGGGGCGCATCGTAGTACCTGGGTGCCGCGCACGATCCAGTAGTTCCCCGGGGTCAACCACGCCCAGCCGCATCTCCTTGAACACGACAACGGCCGGCCCCTTCCATCTGTTCTGGATGAGTTGTTGTCCTGTCGCCTTCGCGCAAATAGTATAACCGCCGTCCGACGCATAAGTTAGGTCGCGATGGAGGGAAGCGTGCCATCGTAGAAGGGCACATATTAGCTTCGCTGAGGTGTCTTCCATGATGAAAGCGGCCGCGGTCATTGAATCCCCCTCGAACACATGCTTGAAGTCTGCCCTCGTTCATTTTGCGAGTGTTGCTGGCGAGACATTGCCGCTCGAGTTGATCATGGCCGTTGTAAGGCACTTACCGAGTACCCATTGGCATGGAGAATATCCCCCGGTGAACGCCAGTCGGCTTACTTGATGAGGGATGTAGGTGCGCGCCTCGGTGATCAGCTCCCCGTTGATGATGTTGTTGGTTCCTCGCTCGATTGCGTCGGCGCAGTACTCAGTAACTTCACTGTCCTCTCGGTCGGGGTGCTTCGCGATCCAAGCCAGAGTGGGGGCCTCGCCTGTCGCGTTCGTGATAAGGCTCCCACGCTTTTCAAAGAACTGTGCGAACCTCTCGGATGCGAATCTGGATCCGCCTTCCGCCCTGTTTTTTTCCATCGCCAGTGCGAACTGCCTAATCGAGCCTCGCTACAGGGCCTCGACTAGCTTGTCGGCCGTCTCCGTCTTGACGGTTCGTAGCGCGCAGTACCGGGTAGCTCAATCCTTCGCGGAGAGCATCGACGCCTTGCCGGTCGCCGTCTCGACCCAGAAAATGCGCGTCAGACGTTCTCGGTGAACGTCGTCGCCGTTCGTGTTGATGTTGGAAAGAGCGCGTTCTGTGGTCGTTTGGAAGGGGGGGCTGGAACCGGACACCCCCCCTCCCTCCCTCTCTCCTTCCCCTCGGGCCAGTGCCTGCGTCGGCGGCGGCTGGCGGCGGCGGCGGGGACGGTTTCCTTTTCTGGACCGGCGACGGCGCCTGCGGCGGCGGGGCGGCGGCGGCGAGGAGCGCCGACGAGGACGACGGTGGTGGTGGAGGTTGCGGTGGTGGGTTGTGGTGGTGGTGGTGGCGGTGGTGGTGGTTGTGGTGGTGGTGGTGTGGTGGTTTGTTGTGGTGGTGGTTGTGGTGGTGGGTGGTGGTGGTGGTGGTGGTTTGGTGATGGTGTGGTGGTGGTTTGTGGTGGTGGTGGTGGGTTGTGGTGGTGGTGGTGAGGGTGGTGGTTGTGTGGTGGGTTGGTGGTGGTGGTGGTGGGTTGAGGCGATGGTGGTGGTGGTAATGGTGGTGGTGGTGGTAGCGATGGTAATCGTCGCTGCGTCCCCGCCGTCGCCGGCGCCGGCGCTGACGGGGGGGTGGGGTTGAAACCCCCCACCCCCTTGGGAGGGGGTTCGGGGCGGGGGGGGCTTGGGGGGAGGGGAGTCCCCCTGGTTTCGATCGACGGCGCCGAGTGTTGGGGGGTGGGCCCCCCCCCGGTTCGAAACGCGCCGCCGCATGTCCCCACGGCAAGCGCCCGTGAAACGCGCTCTTTCTGATACTGTAGTCGTCGGCTTCTGCTGTTTATCTGCCGCGGGTAGTGGCGTCGATGGAATGGACCCCTGGTCTGGCTGGCCCGCGAATCTCCTTTCCGGCGCGGCCACGCCTTCAGCGCGGTTTTCGCCCGTTGGCGTCGCCCCCCCCGCTGCACTTGAGCTGGTTGCGTTCGGGGTTGTCGCAGGGTATGGCGATGGCTCCTGGTAGGCCGCCACCGCTCCGGATGCCGCTGCCGTTGAATGCGGGATCGGCGTCGCGTCCGAAGAGTTTTTGGGGCGTCGCTTGCCGGGCGGCAGCTGGTCGTCATCGCCGTCTTGTTCATCGATGTCCATGACGGAATCGCATGGCAGTTCGACGGCGGTTCGCCGCCTGCTGACTCCGTGGAACTGTGCGTTTCCCATCCGGCGCAGGCCGCCCAGGGCGTCTTGCGCCTTGTTGAGAGTGTCGAGCAAGACGCACCTTTGGTCGTTCACGTCGAGGGGCAAGTGCTCCGGGGCACATCGTAGAACCGAGTGCCGCGCACGATCCAGTTGGTCAGATAGCGCATGTAAGAAGTCCTAGTGGCGCGTGCTATCTGAGCGCGAGGGGGAATGGCATCTTCATGCAAGAACACCGCGTGCGGTCCCTGCCACGTGTCGGGGGAGGAGGGGGGGCAGCACGAGAAGCAGCAGGAGGAGGAGGAGGAGAAGGATGTGGGGGAGGAGGAGGAGGAGGAGGAGAAGGAGGAGGAGGAAGAGGAGGAGGAGGAGGAGGAGAGGAGGGGGAGGAGGACCAGATTGAACCCAAGAGCCATCAACGATATTGGAATACACCCTCCCTCCAAGCTCCCCCCTCCTAGGCCCCCACAACGGTTCATTCCCATTGAGGATCTGCCTTGTTGGAAGACAACCGCTTGAAGACCCGGAAGCATGCCTCAACATTGTTCTCGGGATTCCAACGCCACGGATCGACCTGATTGTTGCGTCTTGACGATCCTGGAGTGTGCCAGAACGCCGTTCTTGGGATTTCAACTCCGCGGACCAGCGTACTTGTTACACCCGCAAAATCATGAATCCTTCCAAGAATGCCTTGTCTGGTACGTTGACCGTGGGAATCCGTGGAAGTGTTGCACTTTGTATAAACGAATGGGCGCGGCGCTATGGCGAGAGCCACATACTGAAAACAGGTTATCTTGAATCCGTGAAACCTCGTGCAAATTGTTATAACGAATGCGCGTAGCGGTAGGGCGATAATTTCATGTTGAAAACGGGTTATCCTCATTCCGTGATTTTTATTGTATTTAAGACGAATGCGTTTGGCGCAAATGCGACAGCCACATTTTGAATACCAGCCGCCCTCCGTTTGCGAAGCTGTTACAAATGTTTATGATTATGAGTCATAAGCGGTGCGGAAGGCTCCGGCAAAACGCCCCGACCGCCATAGAAAATTGCTTCCGGGTGCGACAGGGAGAAGCTATGTATAACGAAAAGGAATGGAGGAGGAGGAGGAGGAGGAGGAGGAGGAACGATGAGAAGGAACAGCAGCAGCAGGAGGAGGAGGAGGAGGAGGGGCGAGGGCCTCCGTTCGGGGCAGCGTGCTATCTGCCTGGCGCGCCTGCGCCCCCTCCCCCATCGGGGCATCGTGAAATCGCCGTGCTGGCATCGAGGCTCCTCGATCCTCTTCCTCTTTCTCGCCCTGCCCCTGCCTCCTCTTGGGCGTGTGCTGTCTGTCAAGCAGGGGGTCTGAGTGAGGCAGTGATGCGATTGAGTCCGAGTGTGTTGCGGCGGCGGCTCCGCAGTTGCGAGGATGTCTCGAGCGGCGGCCCCACGGCTGCGAGGATATCTCGAACGGCGGCGCCGCGGTTACAAGGATGCCACGAGCGAAGGCGCCGCGGTTGCGAAGATGTCCCGTGCGGCTCCGCGGCTACGATGATGTCTCGAGCGGCGGTGCCATCCCGCCCCCCCGCCCTGCCCCCTCTCTGGCGCGTGCTATCTGAAGTTCCCTCTCTGCGCTGCCCCTATGCATAGTTCTCGGAGAGGACGCCCGTACCTGTTGTGTTCCGGTCCAGAGGTCTGGGGGCTATGCGGTGCTATTTGTTCGTTTGGTTTCGTGCGCCATTTGATCGTTCGGTCGCATAACGGCCAGTCCCATCGATTTGCTCATGATGAGTTGTTCCCGTTCTACCTTCGCGCCAATGGTAGCACCGCCCTCTGATGCATGCGTCGGGATGGAGTGAAACGCGCCATCGTAGAGGGCACGCCATAGTTTTGTTGAGATGCCTGCCACGATGAAAGCGGTCGCCCTCATTAACGCCCATCAAATATATTTGAAATGTTCGTCCCCATTCATGTTGCGAGCGTTGTTGGTGAGATATTGTCGTTCGGGTTGATCGCGGTCGCTGCAAGGCCCATACCGAGCACCCATTGGTTATGAGATTTTCCACCGGTCAACGCCAGTCTGTTTACCAGATGAGGGATGTAGGCGCGCGCCTCAGTGATCAGCTCCCCGTTGATGATATCGTTGACTCCTCGCTCGATCGCGTCGACGCAGCATTCCAGGACTTCGCTGACCTGCTGGAGTGTGCTTCGGTTGCTGCGATAGCAACAGGGGGCCCGCGCCGTTCGAAGGATTGCGCGAACCTCTCGGATGCGAATCTGGACCCGCCCTCCGCCCTGAGCTTGTTCGCCAGGGCGAAGTGCCTGACCGAGCCTCGCTGCGTGTCTTTCAAACTGCAGTGTCGGCCGCATCCGTCTCAATGGCTCGTAGCGCGCAGCACTGGGCAGCTCCATCCACCGCGGAGAGCAGCGACGCCATGCCCGTCGCCGTCTGGATCCAGAACACGTCGGTGTAGACACTCGGCGCACGTCGTCGCCTCCTTCACGTTGGCGCCGGGTGCCTTTGGAGTCCTCGGACGCCCTATGCCGCAGTCGCATCGGCACTCACGCGCGCGCAGCTGGACGTCGTCCCGCGCACCGGGTCGTCGCACCAACCGGCGTTGCACCAGCGGCCTTGGCCGGCCCATGCCCCGACGCAGAAGATTGACGCAACGCGGCGCGGGGGTCGGTGGCGTTGGCGCCCCCGGCCATGTCCTCGCCATTGCGGATTTGCTCGATCTCGGGACCCGCCATGACCATGGCCCAAGTAGCCGCGAGTGTGAACGGGGTAGCACTCCGCATGCTGGGCGCGCCCGACGCCTGCGCCGTTGATATTGCCCTGCGCTGTGTCGCGCCGTCAGTTTCGATCGCATCTCGTCGTCACGATGGTTGCCATGCGCTTCTTGGCTGTCTCGATCGTTGTGGGTCCCTTGACTGCCGGGCCGCTGTCCAGCAGGGTCAGGCCGCGAGCGCATTGGTCAAACGTGGCCTCGTGCCCCGCGAGCTTCCGGAGGGCGACCAAGCGCTGCGCTGCCGAAGTAGATTGTTTTTCGACGTGGACGCGTCGTCAGCCAATCTGCTGCTCGATGGAAACGCCTTCCGTGCATTTCAGATCTGGTCGACGACGCCAGTCGCACGGCCCCGCGAGATCCCTCGCTCCCAGGACGCCCGCGAACGTTAAGTTCTTGCGTGTTGATCCAAGGTCCGCGCATGGGCGCCAAGAACACTTGGACGGGGCGCGCCAGTAGTCGACCGATATTGCTGAACACCCTGCCGACATTGAGGCGAAACGTCTCGACTCGGGTTTCGAAGTCATCGCGCGTCTTCTGGAACGCCGCCGGACCGCCATCTCGCGAAACACCTGGACGCGCTGGCCACTCGAAGGCTGTGCCACTGAGCCGAGCTTGTCGGGTCATCTCGATGCTACGCACCAAGCCCCGAGGTTGTCCTCGCCGCTCGCAGCGCCCATCATGTTGACGCCCGCATAAATGCACCCGTCATTTCCCGGCTTGCCGCGCCAGCGGGTTTCCGGGAGGGCCCCGCCCTTGGGCCCACCAGCGTCGCTGCGAAATCATGTGAGTCGCGGGATGCGCGCTCCATGACCTCACCTTGACAATGCGCCGTGGGCAATTGTCCGCATGCGTTCCTAGAGTTGGCGAGTCGTCGCGCGGGTCGGCATCCGTCGTCGCTTCGTGGATCCCGTCTAGGAACTTCAGGGCACTGACGCCGTCGCCGTCCTGGCCCGCGTCTGCGGGCTCGAACTCGCTGGCCAAGCCCACTTGGCCTGCCATCTCGCCCGGGCCCTCCTGGGGGGGGGGGCCTAAGTGCAGTAGCAGCGTGGAGACAGAGTCGCTTCTTCGAGCCCGGCGCCGCTCCACGATGGCCTCTGCCTCGCGCGTTCGGCCTGGAGAACTCCAAAGCCCCGGGGGCAGTCTGGGCGTCCGCGCTGGCGCCGCGTAGATGTAGAGGGCGCATCTGCGCTTCTCGAAGCTGGTGGGGGCCATGCCTCAACAGGGGGCGCGATCGGCCCCCCCGAGTTGGAAAGGCCGCGTGCACTCGGAGAACTTGAGTCTTCGATTGGGCAGCCCGCGCCGCGAACCTGCCTCGAGGCGACCGCGGGCAGCGCCCGACCCCGACGCGAGCATCGTCGCACCGCAGTCCAGGATACCTCGTCAAGGTAGAATCTGGGCCGTCGTCTTTCACCGTTTGCCCCAGCAAACCTCGCCCACCATCATGCTGTCGTCGTCATGAGGTCGCCTCCCTGGCGGTTCCGCGCCGTCGCGAGCCCCGCCTGCCAACGCGGCAGGCGCGTCGACGATGTGCCCGGGGCTGGCCTGTTCGCTGCGTCTGCTCGTTGCGTTGCGCTCGGCCGTGGCTGGATCCTTCGGGCGGCGTGGGCGGTTCTTTTCCTTGCCGCCGGCGTGGCCTTCTGATGGAAGTCGCGCGCCCCCGGGTCGACCGCTGACCCCCCGATCCGCCGCGCCCCGATCGCTTGCCCGCCTCTGCCGGGGTCGGCCGTCGCCTCGACCAGGTAGACTCTTCGACGTGCGCATGCCGTTGAATCGCTTCCATGCGTCCGCATTGGCCGCGCGGGTTTCGTCTGACTCGCCGACGTCAGTCTCGACGGACGCGGGGGTCGCGCTGGCAGCGGGCCTCGTCGCGGCCGCACCAGGTTTCGTCGTCTTGCAATCCCAGGCCGCCCGGCAAGGGGGCGGGGCCCGAGCGGTTGCCCGGTTGGCGCGGAGAGCATTCGGAACATGGTCGTTCTTAACACGGAACGTAGAACGCGTTGCAAATAATCGAGCCAACACGTTTTCTATTTTGTCTTCGCCACGAGGTAAATGCGAAGTTTGCCGGTCCATCACGGCGCGAGGAAGTAGGTTTCACATGCATTGGCTGGCATGGAAAAAAGAAGAGCGTTTAACAAACGCGCGTTCTATCTTCTGCTATGGGCAGGTAAATGTGAAATGCATCGCCCCTGAGAACATTGCAACCATATGTTTCGCGCTTGCTTATCACTATGGAGATGAAAACCGCGCTTATGTGGGTAACCACGTGATCCGTGTTCTTAGATTATGCGATACATCGCCACGCGCCACCGCGCGCGTTCGGCGCGCTTCCGCGCTGGATTGCCCGTCCCCTCCGCCGCGCGAATTCTCCGGGACGCGTCGCTGCCGCGCGACGGGCGATGGGGCCTGGCGCCGCCGCCGCCGCGCATCTGCGGCGCCGCGCAGTTGCGCGCGGCGTCTGCCCTGCCCGCGTGCGCGCGCGCCTTGCTCGCGCGATCCCTCCCAAGTCGCGTTCTCCACGGCAGAATTGCCCCGTTGCCGCCGCCGCGCGGCCGCGCCGCCGGGCGCGGCTTCGCCGCCCACGCTCGCGCGACTCTCTCTTGCGCCTTCCCGCCCAGGAGAGCCCGGCGCCGCCGACGCGCGACCTTTCTCGATCGTGCTGTTTCCCCAGCCAGGGCGGCGGGCCGGGCGACGCAGCCCCGCAACCGCGGCGCCGCGCAGCGCCCGCCGCCCTCGCGCGCGCGCGCACTCGCCCGACCCCCACCGCGCCCCGCGGTTCCCCGCGCGGGATTGCCCCCCCGGCCCCCTCCGCCCACGCGCACGTGGCGCTTCCCCATCGGGGGGGCGGCCCTGCCCCGCCGCCGCGCGACGCCCGCCGCGCCCGCGCGCGCTCGCCGAGCTCGCGCAACCCCGAAACCCTCATCGATCTCTTGGAGTTGCCCAGCGCGCGCGCGTCGAGCGCCGTCGCCGCGCGACCCCCCTCGCCGGGCGGGCCGCGGCGCCCCCGCGCGCAGGGCAGCGACCCCGCGCGCGTCCGCCGCGCCCGCGCAACCACCCCTACCGCGTTCGGCGCTGCGCCCCCCGCTCGCTTCTAGCGCGCCTTAGCGCGGGGTCGCGCGTCGCCGCCGCCGCGCGGCCCCCCGCGGCGGCGCCGCCGATGGGCCCGCCGCCGCGCGCGGCGCCCCCCGCCCCCGCACGCCCGCCGCGCCCGCGCGGCTGGACCTCCGCCGCGGCCGCGCGGCACGTCTCGCCCGCGGGATTCTCCGAGACAGGACGTCGGCCAGGCGCCGCCGCTACGGCGCCGCGCCTCGGTCGCCCACGTCCGCGGCGCCACCGCGGCGATAGGCGCGGTCCTCCGCTTAGTTGCCCCGTCGCCGAAGTGCGACCTCTCTCGCGCGCCAGCGCCGCCGCAGCCGCGCGGCCGCGGCGCCCGCCGTCGTCGCTATTGGCGTCGTCGCCATCGTCGTCGTAGTTTTCCGTGCGCCCCCGTCGTCGATGACCTCGCCGTCGTCGCAGCAGTCGTCACTATTGCCTTCGCCCTCGTCGTCGTCGCCGCCGACGTCGCCGTCGTCGCCCTCGACGTCGACGTCGTCGCCGCCCTCGCGGACATCCCGTTGCATGAAACGCGCTCACCTCTCCAAAATCCTGCTCGGCCCGGCCCGCCCGCCCGCGAGGGCCCGCCCGCCCGCCCGGCCCGAGCGTTTTCATGCCCCGTACGAAGAACAAAACAAGATAACTATTCGCGAAGGATTTCGCACCGCACGCGCAGTATCTCAAGCGCCCTGGTTATTGGTTTGGGCTAGCCGGGCAGCGGGAGGCAGATCCCTTCGCTGCTGCTCTCTGCCCGCACATGCACGCACTGCGCGCGCTGCTGCTACGCTGCACGCGATATACCGCATATATATATATATATATATATATATATCAGGTGAGGGCGGAGGACGGAGGACTGCGGAGTCAGAGCTCGAATGGCAAACAGTTGCACGCACATAAAGATTCGGAAAACCACGCGGTTGTTCGAAGATCGGCGCCAAACGCCCCCGGCGGCGCCGCATCCTCCGAGGCAGGAATTGATCTTTGATTGTCTCCCCGGGGATCGATCTTCTAGGATTTCGGCAGGCGGCGAATGGGAGCGAAGCATTTTGCCAGCCCCCTGTTTCGAGGCAAGTTAGTTGTGCGGCGCTCCGCTAATGGGAGCGAAGAATTGATTTGACCATTTAGTTCGAGGGCAATTAGCAGAGTGGCGTTTCGTGAATGGGAGCGAGGCAGCGTTTAATTT